GTGAGATTTTCTGCATGCCCTATTCCCCTTGAAATATGACAGCTCTCCAAAAGTGGGGGTGCAGATCAGCGGACGCTCTGAGCTCGCTGGATAGTGGCCGATCCCGAGACGTGACATCAAAAACTGTTAACCACATCACACGAAACTGTTTCAGGAAAACTTTGCAACAATATGAAAGCTTCACTATAGGATGGTTTTACTTTCTATATTGCAGTTGCAATCATGGGATAGCCCTGTGTCGTTAGCGTTATACATCGATCGAAGTTCATCACAAGCTTTACAATACCTCATGGATTTACATAGGTGTAATCATTCTGTCGCAGAAAAGGTGGGTTGGTTCCAACGTTGTCCTAGCTTTTCTCCTGAATATCAAGAAAATTAATTCGAAAGCGAAATGGAAGAAAAGCCAAAAAGCCTCATTGAAGTTCTAGGTTGATGAATGAAGTTCACCGAAAGCAACTATTAGCATCTGTCCTCCCTAGCATGCTCTACAGTCACTACAGTCAACCTTCTGGCACCAACAAACTGAGATGAAACTAGCTGGCGCTAATCGTGTCCTTATGGAGTGCTTTACGTATTTTACTCCTTCCTTTAATAGCCGCTGTAACATGGAGGGTACATTATCGTTGGGAGCTTCCCAACAGTTGGTTGGGTCGTATTAGTCAGTTGGAGCGTCGATTTGGCCTGGACAGGAACTTTCCCGAGCTGCGAGCAATTTTTCGCCTGTTGACTTTTGTCATTTCCCGATTCGTGCTCGCTACTACCTTTCCCTACTTGTCGGCCCGTGAAACTACCATGCAGTTGTTTTTTCTGATAACTTGGATCACTGTGCCTTGCGCTCCGCGGTTAGAGGGGTGCGTCGCTTGTAACAGCGGTATGAAGGAATTCTGCGCCTTCCTAGTATTAGTATACGGAAAGTAGTTGATTGTCCGCTCAGGTCGGTTGTGTGGAGGGAGGGTAGGGCGGAAGAGAAACCTTGGAAAAAGGGGGAAAATGGTTGAAACTGAAGAAATTCATGATGACGAGAAGTAGGATGAATAAGGAGGGATCACAGCAGCGGAGGAGATTTGGTAGAGTGGGGTCGTACTGACGCCGCCGCGATGGCGTTCTTTAGTGTCACTTTTTAATATACATGCATTGAGTGACCTTCCAAATATAATAATAAGCACTTGTTTTGAATACCCCCTATCTAGCAACGGAATTATCTTCTGAATCAGTCTTTCTTTTCAGCTTTCCGTTCATGTGGTCTACCAGTTGTCGGCATTCCAGGATAAATGCGATCCTCTTCAAGTTCTCAAACGACCCATTTCCTGTGTCAATTTTACGTCAAAATACAGTAGAGTACTCAGACTATTAAGTCCACTCGTTACAAGCATAGCTAGACCTCAAATATAATATAATTTTCAGAGCAAAATTCCATAGACAATATGGCTCCGCTGTTTGGCATCTATCCAATAAATGTGATGCGGAATGTCGCTAGGCGCGGAGCTCCGTCAAGTTTTCATTTGATTAGCGACATCGAGATGGTTTTCAGGTAAGGTTTCTTTGGGTACTATTAGGTTGGCGGGAAAGTTCTGTCACTTTTTCGAGCTCGACATATTTGCCATCGAGGTCTCCATTACCTGAAGAGGGTGAATGTGAGCACTTATACATCAAAGAGTGGTCTTTCTATTAGTACCACTCGCTTGATTCCTGCTTCTTCTTCTTCTGCAATATGGACAAGAATGTTATCCGCTACCATCGCCACCGACCCCTCCAAATGCTTCTGATAGTGCAGCGCACTTCCAAAAAAGTTCTTAACCTCCATGGCAAATAGAGCTGGATGGCTCTCCCCTTGCAGTGGTGCACAGACATTGCTCCTTCTAACTGCGAGTTGCCTCCCGTAATCAATCATTACTGGACGAGAAATTACGAGAAAACCTCGAAAAGTCTGAGTTCAAGCCAAGATTGAGATGATGTCCAACTTTGTATCGCGCCTCCCTGCATTGTGAAGCGATGGCATCCATGAGGTGCTCAAAAACAGGCAAGGACCCCGCAGTAACATTGCTGTACAATTTTGATCTTACACGCCTCTCTATAAAAAGAAAGCCCAATTTGAAAAATGTGACAGAACTTTCCCGCCAACCTAATACATGTCACGTACGACGTTACAATTCATACGAGGGCCGTTCGAAGTACCCTCGGTATTGGGGTAATTTAGCACTGACGAGGGATTCTGAATCATTTCAATAGGTGGCGACACTCCCTGGGCTAAATACGAAATTTCATTTAGTTATCACCAATGCTATTCTAGTTACCTTTGGTGAAAGATGGCCAGAATGACTGACACAGGCACCCCTCCCCCCCCTTTCTTCCGAATACTGGCGCTATCTTCCCTAGTCACGGCCATTTTTCTGGTATCTTGGTGCAACCGCAATTATGGGAAGGGGGGAAGGGGCGCTTGAGTGCGCCTCTGTATCCCTTCTTGGAAGGTGGCTCAAAGTGCTGACGACCAGAGGCTCAAACCTGATCAGAGGAAGAGATACCGAGGCTCTGGTGATTGGTTCTCCCCCCCCCCCTCCAAACTTGCTAGCGACACTATCTTTAATGTAATCTCAAAGTGGCCTTCATAAAAAAAACCGTGCCATACCATAGTTGCGATGTGGATATCGTTGTTGCGGGACCCGCAATGAGGATGCACTTCAACTTCATAAATTTTAGGTCTCGAGATGTTATTTTGAGAAAAGTTCTCATTTTCAGTTCCAATTTCTCTATGCAAGCGAAGAAGTTGGTAAACGAACATATTCGCCCGAAATCGAAGAAGCTGATCGTGATCAGGTGATGATAGCTTTTACAGTGATCGTATGAGATTAACCCTAGATGCAAGAGGTTTTAAAGGCAAAGAGAGTTTGCACACCAAAGTTTACCAAGAGATTCCAGAGAAAATTAAGAATAAATGTTTCATTTTAGAAGATTTGAGATCGAACTGGGAGTAGATCTACCGCGTAACCACACTACACTCAGAGAGCTTATCGATTCCAGACAGTGAGTTCAACTGGAAATAATAAAAGTTGTTCAAGCAGATCATTGTACTGATGCTATGTTCTTAGAAACATCTTATCTGTTTTGCAAAGGCATCACATCCTCCTTCATATTTCCCGCATTCGTTCCCAGCTATATATCCCCTTTAGCCTGAGAAATTCTCCTGAACTTTCCTCTCCCTCCGTTCGATAATTCTTCCGTCACCGCCAACGGACAGGCTTATTTTGGAGGCGATGTACGACTACCTGCGACATGAACCTTTCCGTGGGGTTTGCGAGCACGCAGACATAAAAATGAAGCATTCTCACCGTTCCCAAGTGGATAGCAAAGAAGCTGGATATTCGTGATTACTTGAGGCTGTTGTTGCGTGCGAAAGGAGACGACAACTAAACTGCCCGGAGAAGTTCTCCTCCAAGGATACAGTGAATGGAGACTCACAAATAGTCACTGTAACGATGAAAGCCATCAGAAATGCAACGAAAGTAATCTGCATATTGTTTGCTCCCCGCTCGCTGTCCGATAAGCAATAGCACGCTGTATAGGCGCGTCATGCGGCTTGCCATGCATCAGAGGGTCATGCGCAGTCAATAAGGCTGCGTTCATACTTCGCGGCAGCGTCCACAGCGAAGAATAGTGTCCACCAGGGCGTCCGGCAGCGTCAGCGATTAGGTTAGATAGCGATCTAGCGCTTGCCAGCGTCTATCAGCTATAAGCAGGTGTGGGAGTGGAGAGAATGGGGCGATAGGAGGGTAGCCCACAACTGGATAGAGTACTGGGAGGACTGCTGGCCCTAGAGACGCTGCCGAACGCTAACAGTGTGAACGCTATTGGTCACTGGTGGAAGCCGCAAAGTATGAAGGCATCTTGGGGAGCAGCTGGCTATGGTAAGGCATACGAAGCACCCTTGGCATCTCTTATCAAACATTGGACGAAGGATAATGAGCATCAAACTATTCATGCCTCCAGCTGCTCACTTCCAAAACTCTCCTCCGTGACCTAGGTCAAAGAGCCATCAAACCTAAAAAAAGTAGAGCAAGAAATACAAAGGTGAGGCTTGTTGGCTTGCATGTTCCACTGGAAAGGAGACTAACCTTCCTTACGTTCACGAAAATTCATGCTTTGAAATGGGAATTTTTCAGAGCTCATGAATACCATCATAAATTGTTCCCTGTGGGTCACACCATATCAGCGTTATGGGAATGGTTCAAACGATCCAAAGAAAAACCTGAGCCCTACGTGTGGGAGATCCCTTATAAGTAGGTTGCTTAAATTTCATGCAGCACATAAAGTCACCTTTGAACGCTCCAACTAGAAGAACTTCTCAAAGTTTATTTTTCATGTAGGAATCCTATGTGGGAGCCGCAGTTCATCATGAGCGCAACGGATCCATTTAGTGAGGAGACTATGCCGACTCGTCTACGAGATCAGCAAGCTTTGGTGAGCCATTATTACATTAAAGGTTGAGGTGCGATTTCTTCTGAGCTTTTACATTTTTTTATTTCCTTTCTTTTTTTATAACGCCTACAGTCATAAACCTAACAAGCATTGTCCAGGAACATATTCCTCGAGTAGTACTTTCAAAGAGGCACTACCATTGTGCCTTTCTCGTAGCACGAGCCTTTTCTTCACTCATTCGAAAAAGAAAGGCGCACTAGTGTGGGGGGGGGGGGGAAGTAGGAACAGGAATGAACTTCAGGGAAAGTTCCTTCACATACAAACTGCAGACTTACCTGGATCCTAGTTTTACCATTTGTCAGGTGAATGGATCCGCTGTCGCTGTAGCCGGCAGGTTCCTCTGCTCAAAAAGCCCGTTACTGTGCACGAGGGGGGAATGAGGGTATACCATCTCCGACCTCTTGCTTGCGCTGCTGCCTGCCAACCACACGCCTGATCGTATAAAAGACGCGCTACATGTTTGTGCCCTCTCACTTGTTAATGTGCTCTACCCCTGAGTACGTGTTTCACGGCTGAGCTTGGTGTGGACGCAAGCGCTGCACATTGAGTGTAGGGCGGGCGGAATATAGAGGCGGCATCGGGTTAAGGCTACCCTCCAGCCCGTTACCGTACACTTATGATCGGAAAGTGGAACGTTACTGTAGCTGTGGGCCCTGTCACATCGAAGGAAAGGACCGTGATTGGTCCCTAAGGTTCTTGAGACCTTATGTCGGAAGGGGTCGTCTCGTCATATTTGTGAACGTAAAAAGCCTACCCCTGATAAAGGCGTGATCTATGATGTGACCAGTGAAACCAAGTAATATCTTCTGATGATACCACAACCATGCTATCTTTTTCCTTCCTTTTTGGACAACAATTTCGTCCTGGACTGTCAGCATTGGCGCAATCCAACGTATTTCTTCCACCACTCCGGCTCCAAAGCTGTCAAGGCCAAGGTGAAGGTGAGATACCATATCCCCCGTCACCGGGCAGTCTTCCACGACAATAAGGCTTTCAAGCCGAACGCTCTTGAAGGCAAAGTACGGTATGGGTGTAAATCTGAACTCAGCTTGAGGATGTTGCGGGCTTGTGAGACTACTGGATGAAGGAGCCCCCATGGGCAATCCCTACACTTGTCAATCAGAGACGAAAATTCAGTTGCACAGTCTGCTTCCTACATGATAGGTCCAGACTGCAAATCAATAAGTGGTCTTAGTGAAGCTCATGTAATACATCTGGTTGGTACAGTAGATCCTTTGTCCGGTGAAGCCTGGTCATTGATCGTTCCAAATGCTGATTGTTGTCGACCTGACTAGTATTAGGTTGTCCGGAAAGTTCTGCAGGTTTTGAGTGTTTAACTTTAAACGATCATAACTTTTTTAATACTCATCGGATTTAATCCGAAATAAGCACCATTCGAATCAGCACACTTTTGCCAATGTGACAGCAGTCGAGAAATCCCATCAAAGAAAAAACTGGTATCGAAAATTCACAAGAATCCACGAAGCTTTTTGGCTTTCGTAACTGTTTGATGAAGTATTCCCAGCAAGGACTTCTGAAAACTGCTTAAAAAGGAATATCGATTGTGAGAAGTTCTGGAAAATATGGCGGTTGAGTAGAACTTCAACCCCAATTCGTTCAATTTATGGATAGTGATTTGTGAAACGTGTGGGCGGGCGTTGTCATGCAAAGAATCGGACCCTTTCTTTTGATAAGTGTTGGCTGCAGCTGACAAAATTTTCGGTACATTTCGTCGATTCCTTCACAGTAGGGTTCTGCTGTGATGGTTTAGCCTGGTGATAAAAAGTTATAGTGGATCACACCAGCCGATGACCACCAAGCCGTGACCAGAATCTTTTTTTCGTGAGGGTTCGGCTTTAAAAATTACCTCGGTGGTCGTTCGAATCATCATTTCCGGAAACGTTTTCTGTTAACATGACGTGACCTCTTTTTCATAACACAGGTGACATTCGGTCCAAAAACAGCGTTTCTGCTGCGCAAGAAGGCAAATGCAGAAGGAAACCTGCGAGACGTGCCGATTCCGGTCACTCCGATTGTGGGGCACCCAATTGTCGAGTTTTTCACCTTCCCAATGCGTTCCAGACCATCTGCAACAGTGGATTTGCCAACGCCTAGCTTTTCTGCAATCTCTCGAACTGTTTGGGATGGGTCAGCCTTCAAAATCCCCTTAAAATCCTCGTCAGATATTGCTTTAGGTCGACCGCTATGAGGTTCATCTTCAAGGCTGAAATCTCCAGAACGAAATTTGTTGAACCATTGCCGCACAGTGCTTTCTCTAGCACTATTGGGCCCCCACACCTGGTTAATTTGTTGAGCTGTTTCGATTGCGGATTGCCCAAAATTTATAGTCGAAGAAAAAAATCGTCCGAAGTGCTCTTTTGAACACTTGCTGCAGGGAAGAATCATTTGAAAAGGGAGTCAGTCAAACAATGGTGAAACGGCACTTATACCATCAGATAGCGCAAAGAATTCACTACAGGATGTACTACTGAGACGCAAGGGAGAGTGTGTTTTTAATCAGCAATGAATGTTCAAAAAATAGTAACACAAAACCTGCAGAACTTTCCGGACAACCTAATATAAAGAAGAAGCCTATCGGGACGTGTCAAAATCGAGATGACGGCTGCAACTTTGCTCGTGCGCCATGTCTGCGTTGTTGAAGTCATTGCGTCCCATAGGTAAGTTCTCAAACGTTGGCAAGAATTCCGCGATAACAAGGGTAGATCTGCTTGATCTCATACTTTTCCCTACAAAAAGTCACCTGTTTTCCCATTCACAAAAAGCCCTGAAAATGTACAGTGAAGGTATCTTATCCGCTCTTCTCCTTCTTTGATGGTAAGAGCATTCTTCCTGCATTCGTAACTAGGACTATGCCATACAATGGAAAAAGTCTTTCAATAACTGTTTACTTAGATAGCACGCCTTTAGTTCACTTATACTACAATGTTAATTTAAGACTTACGAACTATGTCGTGCCAACTACACTTTTCTATTGGCGTCGCAGCTCTTCAACGTTCATCGTGGGGTGAAACAATCTGCCACTTGTTTTGACAGAGCTGTCGTGGAACATCAAAAACGGTTCAGATACAGGTAAATCTTTAAACAGTTGCATTTTCTGATGTGCACAGCTTTCGCATGCCGATCCATACTTCGCTCTGGAAACATGCATTCGTACGGTATACTTAGTTGTCCCTGCAGCTAGGCGCTGCAGGGGCTGGCTATACTTCAGTGCTCATATTTCCGGACAATAATCGGATTCAGTGGCAGTAGCGTGCCACTTAATGCGGTCAAAAGTGCACGGGAACGGGACTAGAGGGTAGTGGTACCCGAAGTGCTATCTCCGTATTCTACCCGAGCTATCCTCAGTGACAGCGTTTGCGTCGATACCGAAATCCTGCAGCGGAACATCCATTCAGCGGTAGAGAACAGCCAGAAGTGAGAGGGTGCACACAAGTAGCACCTTTGGATATGGCTAGGCGTATAGTCGGGCTTGTGGCAGCGCGGGTCGAAGTATGGGAACCTCTTCGAGCCTTTTTGAGCGGAGAAAGTGGCACTTTACTACCGCTGCGTACTTATTAACTTAACACATGACAAGAGTCCGAATTCACAGAGAGGAATTCACAGCTTGTCTTTGAGTGCTTGATCTATTTATCATTGAAGACTGGGGACTTCATTTCTGCTTGAACTTTTTTGATTTTCAGTGCCTTCATAAGATTCAAACGCCGAATCGATGCAGAGTATCCGAAAACCCTCAAGCGATGTAACAGATTTACGATGTGAGGGAGTTTCTAATGGAAGAGCTCTTCTATATTTGTGTACTGCCGTATGTATGTGTAACATTATGTGCAAAAAATTAATGAAAATAAATAAGATGCGTACAGTATGTCGCAATTGACAAGACAGAAAGCCAATACGCAGTTTCTTCAACAGTTACTTGAATTGATGTAATGAGCTCTTGAAGCGCTCTGTTGTATACTGCAGTGGTAAGAGGGCCATTCGAAGTATTCTCGGTTTTGGGGTAATTTGGCAGTGACGAAGGGACTCAGAATATTCCAATAGGTAACGACACTCTCTGATGTGAAATACTAATTTTCATTCAGTTATCATAGGTGCTATTATAGTTCTCCTTGGTGAAAGAAGACCAGAACGACTGATGCGGCAATGTTGACAAGATTGAAAAAAATTTGAGGAAAGTGAAAAGAAAACTGAGAAAACGAAAATAAAATCCAGAAAATGAAAATAAAATTGAAATGATTTGTGATTACTTCTTGTTCCCCGACCTAAAAGAAGATTTTTGTAGAAAGCATCTCTCTGACGATGAAGAGTTGAAGGCGGCTCTTAACACACAGCATTTTGGGGGCAAATGGGAAAAATATTTTCTTGAGGGTATTGAAAAATTAGTTTCCCGAGCAAACAAGTGCATTGAGGTTATGGCCGGCTACACTGAAAAAAATTCGTTTAGAATGTTCTGCCTTTTCCTTCATACCTATATTGAGAATACATTGAACACCCCTCGTATACTTCACATCCCTCACCAATGGACGCAGTGGGCCTGACCACGTACTTGTTTTGCAGTATGGTTTCTGTGGGATATTTCGATTCCAGACAACGTTATCGTGCATTACTTGCCATCGCGTTTAACACTGACTTCCTCGAATGCCCGTCAGTGGCGTCTCCGTTCATCGCGAACTAGAGCAGCCGATGGGAATCTCATACCTCGAAAAAGACGATCCCTTTCAATGTGCTCTCGTGAGAGTATTTGTGAAGAATTCTGACCATGGCTCAAGTGTTCGTCCTGGTATTCCTTTGAAGCCTCATAGTGTGCAGTCGGTTAAGGTTCTGGTCCAGTGGTCATCCTTGAATAGCATGACGGTCCAACTGATCTCCGACTCCCTAGCAAATAGGCTTTAATTGCTAATCTTCGACCGTGGACGGAAGTCGACACTACAAACTCCATTTGGCGCTTGCGTGTAGCGAATTTTAAATCTTCTGACCAGCTCCGGAGCTAT